TCTTTTTTTGTACGTTTTTTATTGTAAAAAATGCTGTACAGATGAATTACAGTTACATGAGCAAGGTAATGATTATTTTTGTTTTGTTTCTGGAAATCAGAAACAATATTTTCTATTTTATGAAAAGTCATTGACTTAATATTTATCAAGAAGATTCTGAAAAGTTGACATTGCAGGTTCTTTTCCTAAGGCTCAGTGGGTTTTTTAAAAAAACTACTTTGTTTTTGCTCATCTAAGTAATTTATGGCAAGAACAAAACATGTGCCTCAGGCTTTTTGGGAAATGAACATCAGATATTCTAGAAGGATGTTGGTTTTATGGTCTCCCTACAGGGAGGGTTTCAGTGCAGGGGTCTGTACATGCACATACAGACAGTGCACGTGGCTGGAGTCTGGGCTTCTTTGCTGGCAAAGCAGAGAGCTGGCAAGTAGAAGCTGTGCCCACATTCTATGATGACTGGGTCAAGGAGGGTGATCATGGAGATGATGCAAGTCAGTTCTTCCTGGGAGGCTTGAGAGATGTTGGAATTCATCTTTCTAAAGACTGAATGCAAATTAGAATAGATTTCTCCCCCTGAAAAGCAAAAGCAGATGGTGACACAATAGCAATCTTTAGTATGAACAGTGTAGGGTTTATGTTGCATAAAATGGAAATAAAGAAGCACAGAGAATCTAGAGATAATGTAACTAAATGCTCACCACCTAATTGCATGTCATATTCTCTAACAGATGTGTTGATATATGATGTTCTTCTGATTAATCTCAGTAGAAGAATAATTTGAATCCTTTTACAATTTCAAGGGTGGATTCTAAGTGTATGTAATGCCAAAATATTCTCTTAGAAAAGGATGTCTGACCGAACTTTTACATTTAAATATCTTCCTTGCTTTCTGTTGCTGTTGTTGTTATTTAAATCACAGTCCAAATCTATGACACCAGTAAGTTTACTGGCTAAAATTTACATTCCAAAATTTGATACGAATCTGTTTTTAAGGTACACTAATCTATTGAACTTGTTTTTCTCTCTTTATTATCCATATTCTGTAATAAATAAATTGCAAATTAAAATTAATAGTTAAACTTTTAATTACTTAGCAGTACTATCAATGCCTTTCACATTGAAAAAATATAATTATTATGACTAACCCCAGAAAATAGTACTTTTGCTATGTATTTTGAAATGGCACTTGTGGCTCAAATCTGTATTCATTCATTCCTAGACATTCACAAAATTGAGAACTAGGGGATCTTGTTTTAAGGCTAGACTAAACCAAGAATTCTGGGAAATTCTTTCTCCATAATAACCAGCAAAAAGTGGGTAGAAGGTTAGAAGTGCAAATAAGTAAACATAATACAAAGGATCAAGGAGCTGAATTCAAAATTTGTTACCAGAAAAATGAAAGTTTTAAAAATAATTTGTTCTTGAAAACTGGATTGGTGGCCCACACTTATAAACTGCACTAGGCAGGAAATATAAGTAGCAGGATGAGCAGGATCACTTCCTAAACAGTGAGACCCTATCTGAAAAATAGCAAAAGCAAAATACGTGGGCATAGAGGTTAAATTATAGAGGACCTGCTTAGAAAATGTACCTGAATTTAGAAAGAAGAAAAAAGAAAGAAAAAGTTGTATCTTTCCTTATTTCAATACTAAATAGAGTGATATGTTGTTTTCCATCAGAAATTCATTCTGAGAAATCCTTTGTCATTGTTTTATTTCCTCATTGTGTGAATATCATAGCTTCTATTCACACTAAACTAGGTGTAGCAGGTCACTCTACAGGGCTCCTTGGTTCAGTGATAATACTTCAACAGGAGCTATAAAAGCTCTGAAACATAGCATGGTGCATATGTTCTACAACAAGCAATACATTTGTAATTACAGGTAGTACATTAAAAAATAACACTTTAAAATATAGTGGTAGTTAAATAAACCATTAATGTCACCAGATATGATCATTATGAATATAATGTTCTTATAAGTTAACTCAGTTGGTGAGGAACAGAGAAGCCACATTTTGAGAGATTGAAGGGGGTCTTTATTAGAGAGCTGGTGTTTGCAGATGAGCTCTTGTCTCAAGACTTGCAGCCTCAAACAAAACTTGAACTCAGCTTTAAAGACAAAAACCACATGCTTGAGGTGGAGACAAAGTCTTAACAAAATTGGTCCATTTTAGAAAGTAGAACAGATACAAGCAGAAATCTCTATGTTGGGAAGTAGCTCACGGGTCATCCTAAACCTACTGTATGAGGGGTCCACCTCGGATTTTTTCATTTAGGGAAATCTTAGGGGCTACTCAGAGGTGAGTGAATCAAACCATTTAGGGAGGTAATCAAAGATGAGCATTCTTGGTAGCAAAAGTTTACTCTCCAAAGGCTAAACAGCATCGCATCTACAATTCAATGAATGGTCTTTCTCATTTCTAGGCTTTTCAGCACTGAATGGAAAGCCCCTTCCACCCAGCAAGTCACCAGAATGGCTGAGAGAAGTTACTAAGACCCAGCCTCCCCACTTCAGTGCTTTATGACCCACCCTCCACTCTTCAGTGATTTACACATAACTGTCTTTTCTCCACTTTTACACAATTGGCAAGACACTAGGCCTCTGTTCATCAGCATTGCCATAAACTTATTAGGAAGAACTATGATTGGACAATGGCTATTGCTATCATTAAATGACAAGTTTTTCAGTTCCATTTAATCTTAGGAGAACATTATCATGTAAGAGGTCCTCTAATAACCAAAAGATCATCAATGCAGTGCATGACTACAGGTTTTCCTGTGTGTTTTGGTATGTGTTCTCTATGGCCAATTATTTCCTGACTTGTTTAAAACTTAATGCACAGAACTGTTGATTATATACTGCACTTTAAAGTCCATGTCTCAAGGTGTTCAATGGATTTTCTGTGCATATGGTAAAGAACATTACATCTGATCTGTATGTATGTGTACAACATTTATACACCATAGTGTCTATGTAACAACCATACAGAAACAAAAAATATGAATAAATTTTCAGTGGATTTTTAGGTGCTCCCCAAAATACATTACTACTAGAAGGTATCAAACTACTTTCTGAGTCCATGTACTGCCTAGGAAAAATTATGGAATGCATACATTACTGTACTAATGAAGCATCCATTTGACTCTAAAATATATAACGAGAAAACAACAGAGGTTGGAAGTGTGGCTTGGTTGGTAGAGGGCTAGCCAATGAGTGAAAATGTCAGGTACTGACATTTTCAGCTCCAGATCCAGACCTAATAAAAAAAGAAGAGATAAAAGAGAATGTAACAAAATAATAATCAAATAATATATTAAATATGAAGATGCACCTTGTAAAGAGTAAAATTCAGTTTCTAACAATATAAAGCAGATCATTTATTTGTTTTGGATTGGTAGGGTAACAAGAGCTCCCCCTTCTCTATATTGGATCTCACCTGAAAAATCTGTCAGTAATATCTGCTGTAGACGTAATGATATAAATTCACTTAATGATTCTAAGTGATCAGGGTTTCTCAGATGGGCAGAAACAACATTCATAAGTCTCCTCAGCAAGTCCCATGCTACTGCTCTGAGAAAGTACAAGCTTAGCTCCTTGTAAGTTTCTTTATATTGAGTCACTGGGAATCACATTTATCTCTTCAAAGAGATTATAGACTGGAGCATAACCTAGATGTTAATATGGATAAACTAAATATTGATTAGATTTCTACAAAAGAGTTGAAGGTAGTAGCTAAAACAAAGTTTAAAACTTCAAAATTTAATGTGTATTTTGGGTAAGAGTTCTGTCCAGCTATGCAAACTGTGTTTATGCGTTGTTTGAAATCAAATCATAAATTCATGTTTGTGTAATTCTAGACAGTTCACAAAGCAACTAACTCAATAAAGATCATTTTAGATAAAATAAACTTGTTTGTGAGGGTTTTTTGTTTGTTTGTTTTTTGGTGTTGGAGCTTGACCTCTTGGTGTGGGTGCTGTCCCTCAACTCTTCAGCTTAAGGCTAGCACTCTACCACTTGAGTCACAGCACCACTTCCAGTTTTGTAAGTGGTTTATTGGAAACAAGAGTCTCACAGACTCCCCTGCCCAGGCTTGCTTCGAACCATGATCCCCAGTTCTCAGTCTCCTGAGTAGCCAGCATTACAGGTGTGAGTCACCAGAGCCTGGCTTGATTAAAGAAACTTGTGAAGAAAATATTTTTCTTTTCAATTTTATTCTATCATTGATGTCACATAAACTACAAAGGAAGAGAATTAAGTACAGTATTTACTAATCAAACAAGTGCTTTTGTGATACAGAATTCCCAGCACCAAGAGAGGGTCTTGATGCATGGATGATCCTGGGTAGCCCATTCTTCCTGCTGCCTGTCTCAAGTAGAATTCAGAGCTGACATTTGCATTTCTTACACATGTCAAGCAGAATTCCTTACCTAAGGTGATATTGATCAACAGCTTCCTTTTATAAGCCTGTTCCATTAATTAAGTGAAACTCAGAACTGCCAGGGGATTCTGGTTAAGTCTGCAGTGCTAAGGTGATGCCTAATCCTTCAATTTCCCTTGAAGGAGAATTGAAAAGAAATACAAGTTTGCCTAGTTTAGACCTGAAAGTGAGTTTCACTCCTTCTCCTGTATAGAAATGTTTCAAAGTTATCTCTAGGGAAATGCTATTACAGAAATTATTGAACATTTTTCAAGTTTTTAATCTTGATATTTGAGCAATTACCACTTTGTAACATCTGTGTCTCTTCATATTTCAGTCCCAGTGATGGGGAACTTGCTGAACTACCACACAAGATATCCCTTTACCTCACCTGGCAAGGAAATCAGGTAAAACCACAACATCAAATTAAGATGCAACAGTAAGTATTCTAAGAGACCTTTTATTTAAAATTAAAGTCAATTTATAAATTTAACAATACACTAACATTAAAACAGTACACATTGTTACAGGAAACACAATCAAACTAAAACTAAGGAAGTTAAAAGCTCCAAAGCAGTCTTTTAGGCACTGGCATTCCCTTCCTTCACAGTCAGGTGAGAACTGACCTTAAGAACTGGGGCCAAAGCAAAGAAAGGCCTGAGAGGGGTGGAGAAGGGACAGGAGAGGAAACTAAAAATGGGGGAATTATTGGCCACATCAACAAAGTTTATCCTGCCAATCTCATAATCCAGGAACACTCCCACATGGCCTGGGGGCTTCTTTATGTACTGAGGTAAAAGTGGTGAAGAGGTAAACATTCGGATCCTCTTGTCCTGTTTCACACAGAAAAGTAGACAAATCCCCTCAGAGTCAATTCGCATGTCCTTTCTCATTGTCCAAGAATCATCACAAAATCCAACTGCCCAGTTCTCATGGTCCTTCACATCTACTTCCCAGTAATACCGGCCAGAAGCACAGGACTGATCTCCCCATGTGAGAAAACCCTCAGGTTCTGACTGAGTTTGGTTGACCTCAAGAAGACTGGGGCCAAAGATCCGACTTCTTAGTTCTTCAAGCAATGGCACAGGGTAAGTGGGTATTTTAGATTCCCAGGAAACAGTTACTGCAGGAATGATAAAAAATAATTTAGTTAAATAGTATTGAAAATTTCCAGTGATTATTAGCTTTGCACAGTGGCTAAGTACATTATGTTTCCACTAGAAAATTGAGTTGGGACAAGAAAGGAACTCTAACTACTGTTATTTATTGAAATAAATACATAATTACAGATATGAAGACATTTTATGCAGTCTCTTGGAACTGGTAAACAGCAGGGATATTTCTGTTCTGCTTCAACTCTGATAATGCATGTGGATTGTGGGATTACTAATAATTCTAAATTAGTAACAAAAGAAATGACCCACTCTGCTCAGAAAATCAATTATATTTGCTTACCTGAGCATATGATAATTTGACCATAAAAACACATAAGTGAAAGTTCAACTATATGAATTTTCATAGAGATTAAACAAGTCGTTTAAATAGGGATACAGCTGGACCCATTGCAACAATGAGAAGTACAAGTCGTTATGGCGAAAACGAACTTTACAACTTTGGTGGGGGGGCGGGGATGATTGGATAAGGGGGTAGGGGGAGGATGGGAAGGGATGGGAAGGGGAAACAAAGGAGGAGGCTACAATGCTTGATAAAAAATGTACTCATTATCTTGCCCATGTAATTGTAACCCCTCTGTACAGTATTTTCACAATAAAAAATTAAAATTAAAATAAATAAATTAAAAAATGTGTCCTGACTGAATACATTTGTTATAATGAAATGTTAAATGTAAACGAAGCTAAGCAAGCCAAAAAAAAAAAAAAAGAAATGAAGAAGCTCTCAATGATGGTTGAGAACTTGTGTGTGGGCTGGGATGTGAGTTAGGTGTGTGAATGTCATTGGTACATTTGGCTTTTAATAGCATGTAGGATAATTGCACATACTTTTGTTTTCTATAATGGCAAATTTGGTTATGAAATGTGTTAGCTAAGAATCAATGTTGAGCAACAGAGAAAGATGCTACTGGGAACATTACTGGTGAAGAATTAAGAACTCCTGAAATCAGCTGTCTGTTACCTTGGAATTGTTTGAGCATACGAATAAATCCAGTGATGGGCCAGGCATCAATTCGGGGATGCATAAGCAGAGGTATGTGCAGCATCAGCATAGACTCACTTCTGTAAAGGAGACTCAGACGTTTTGGAATTGCATTTTATGGTAAAGGTGATGTAGAGAGGGACTACAGTTGCATAAGTAATAATGTTACCCCAGCCTCTCAGTTCCTCTCTGTAGATGACAAAATCCTGTATTTATTTATTTATTTATTATTTATTTGGGGGGTCCGGTCACGGGGCCTGAACTCTCGGCCTGGGCGCTGTCTCTCAGCTCTTCAGCTCAAGGCTAGCGCTCTACCACTTGAGCCACAGCGCCACTTCCAGCTTTTTTCTTTTTGCATATGTGGTGCTGAGAAATAGAACCCAGGGCCTCATGCAAGCAAGGCAAGTGCTCTACCACTGAGCCACCTTCCCAGTCCCTGATCCTGTATTTAAAGAAACCCATAGATTCCTCTCTCAAGTTACTCAACCTGACCTGATACTTTGGAAAAGTAGCAGGGTATAAAATTAACCCCCCAAACCAAAAGCTTTTCTATATGTCAACAATGAGTAAAATGAGGCTGAAATCAGGAAAGCAAGTCCTTTTGTATAAGCCTCAACAACAGCAGCCAAAAAACAAAACAAAACAAATCTATTAAATGAACTAAAGATACAAAGGACCCCTATGATGAAAACTTCAAAAACCTGAAAAAGGAAATCAAAGCAGATGTAAAGAAGTAGAAAATCCTCCCATGTGGGAGGATTAAACCTCATGAAAATGGCAATACTAAAATTTATAACTGGTGAAAGGACAACTATAAAAGGAATGAATAGGAAGCTTAATTTTATTTATCCTATTATTAAACATTAATGATAATGGATAAAAGTCACATCATCAGTTATTACTTGTTCTTTTTCTATGGACATTTTCATTCTTACATCTATTTTGAAAAACCTGAGATTTACGTTTGAAATATGATAGGAGTTTGTTGAATTTGATTCTGCTAGAGAAATCTTATCTTGACCTAAGAAGACTACTTTGTGTTCCTTTCATGGATAACTTCCCTAGCTGGGTAAAACAAAGAAATTTGTGAACTCGCCAAAAAAAAAGAAAAGAAAGAAAAAGAAAAAAATGGCAATACTTCCTTAAGCTATCTACAAATTCAATGCAATACCCATCAAAATTCCAGCCCCAAACTTCATATGTAATGACAGAAAAGCCAGAATACCAAAAGCAACAGAATAAAATGAAAGTCTCAGACATGAACCCTCAGACCTATGACCACCTAACCTTCTATAAGGGAGCCAAAAACATATGATAGAAAAAACCTCTGTTCCACTTTTTAAATACATTGCTCACTCTTTGAGGATATTTCAAATTCTCCCTTTATGAATCTCCATAAACTAGAATGTGAAGCAAATGTGCATTTGTTTCATAAAAATCAAGTTTCCAACCCCATATCTAACCACTTTTTTTGGGGGGGGGGTCCAGTCGTGAGGCCTGAGCGCTGTCCCTCAGCTCTTCAGCTCAAGGCTAGTGCTCTACCACTTGAGCCACAGTGACACTTGCGGCTTTTTTCTTTTTGCTTATGTGGTGCTGAGGAATCGAACCCAGGGCGTCAGGCATGCAAGGCAAACTCTCTACCACTGAGCCAACTTCCCAGCCCCGATATCTAACCACTTTTATCTTAAACTTGAGTTCCAATAATCACCAAAAGGTCTGTTTTCCTCCCAATCCTGGGACTGAGGAATAATCTCAAACCAGGAGGAAATTTCAGAAGGGCTGGCTGAATTTTCTACTATTCTAGTCCCATTGAAATGTTTACTTTCTTTTTTTTTGGGGGGGGGGTCCGGTTGTGGGGCCTGAACTCGGGGCCTGGGTGCTGTCCCTCAGCTCTTCAGCTCAAGGCTAGCGCTCTACCACTTGAGCCACAGCACCGCTTCCGGCTTTTTTCTTTTTGCTTATGTGGTGCTGAGGAATCGAATCCAGGGCCTCAGGCATGCAAGGCACGCGCTCTACCACTGAGCCATCTTCCCAGCCCCTGAAATGTTTACTTTCTATAACCACACACCGAGGTTTGTGGAACTCCACTTTGGCTGGATTCCAGTTTTCTATGATACAGTTTCCCTAACTATAGCAGTCAGCCTTTCCATTTGGGGTTGGAAGTCTTCAAATCCTGAGTAGCTTTGTTTTTATCCTGGTACACTGTAGAATGATTTGAAACACTTAATGTTTTCCATGTACATAATGGAAAAAAATGACTTGAGATATCATTTTCATTATAGAGTTTGAACATTTATATCAGAATGGTAATAAAGTCCATTCAACAATCTCACCATCTTGCAAGTAATAACCTTGCCCAACTCTAACTTTAGAGGGAAAATAAAAACCCTTTCTTTATTTTTGAGGAAGATAGGTCAAACTATATTGAATTAACTATTGAAACAAGCAGATTAACTTAGTAAGACATGAGTGGTTAAGCATGCCCATACCAGAACTCATGAGGCTGAGGCAAATACATGCAGAGTTGGAGATTATTTTATTCTACATTTTATTCAAAAATGAATGAATGAATAACAAAATAAATATAGATAGAGAAATAGATGAAAATACTGATGTCAGATAGGTGGAGCAGAGATGTTCTTTACAACTGTCTTATAAATCACTGTAATATTTTTGAAATTTTGAAAGTAAAGATCAACTTACCTTTTAAACATGTTTTCGAAATTCTGTAAAGAGTAAAAAGAATATCAGTATTAATCACAAGTTTCAGAGTGTATGCATGATATTTTTCATTTCTTTCAGAATTGCTTCTCACTATATTGAACAAGTTATTCTCAAATGCTTGGGGTCAAGTGATTCTCATGATTCACCTTCCTGAGTAGTTAGTGCAACCGTGCCCAGCTGAGAAAAAAAGTATTAAGGACAGTGCATAGTAAGTATGTTGCAATTGCTAAAAAGCACATAAAAAAGGAAGAAGGAATATATTATCAATTTGAAATTTTTCAGAATTTTCAAATACCTTCAAAGCAAATACTCACCTGGAGTTTGTCAGTAAACAATTATTATTATTATTATTATTGTATTCACTACATGCTACTCCACGTTTCCACAAATATTTCTTAATTTATGTTTGTTTGCTCCAGGATAAGGAAATCTGACTTTCTCTTTTATAAGAACATAGGAAATCAATTTCCAAACAAAGAATGGAAGACATCAAGAATACTGTCTCAAAAATCACACTTTGGCTGTCATTCCCCATCTCTCACCTCTAGGAGCTCCAGGTCTGGTTTACGGCACAGTTCCTTCAGTGCATCAAACATTTCTCCCAGGGAAGTCTCTGTCAATAACATGCTGCCTTCATTATCTGAGAGTTTTTGAAAAGTATCTAGCTTTTCACACTCAAGTCTCTGTAAATAACTTTCCTTTTTCTTGTACCACCGATCACTCAGCCTCCAGTATTCATCGCTGATCAATTGGCTTCTCATGTTCACATAATCCTAAAGGCACAAGGTAAAATCAGATACATGAATTCAGGATGCTATCATCCACATTGTCTATACTTTTTTTATATGTTTCTTATTGTAAAAATACTGTACAGAGGGGTTACAGTTACATGTTACAGTTACAGTTCCCCTACCATCCCTTCTCTCCCCACTATGTTTTCAACATAGTGTCTTTTACGTCTCATTGTTACAATGGGTCAACCTGTATCCTTATTTCAGCATTTTGTTATTTCCTTTATGCTCTATCCTGTGATGTTTACCATAGGCTATGTTCATTAAACAGTGAACATTAGGGACACATTCTTTCCTTCTTTCTTTTTGGTGTTACATTCACATTTATTTAGTGCACTATAGTTTATTCAGAACAATGCTTTTGACTAGTTTCCCTGATATACCAACATTTTAAAAAATCAGAAAAACATTATCAGTTATTTCCAGTTTCATATGGAAACTCATGACTAATTTAATTTGTCTTCCTCACATGCAAACATCCTACTTACAGGCATGTTCTTCTATTTCTGGAAATAAAAACAAACAATAAATCTTATAGTAATATAGAAGTCTTCTAAAATCTGTGTCTCCAGATCCATGAAGTGCATGTCTATATTTCCTGACCCCTAGGAGAACACCAGAATCTTTTCTAGGTGGCACAGTCTATTTCTTACCTGACTTTGACAATGTTGACAAGGACAGTTTCAACAGTAACCCTAGTTAACCCAATAGTGATAACTAGAGTCATTCTCTAAACCTTTAGTACTAATTCATGTTTCTTGATTACTTCTCCAATCTTCTTTCAAGTTTTAAACATTCATTTTTTTAGTGTTACTGCTTTGAAAGAACCATTGACCCAGTTTTTCGCTTGGCTTATATGCCATTATTTGGCCTTAGAAAACCTTGTGTTAAAAATAGGTACTTCCCAACATTGCTTTTTATAAAAGTCATTCAATGATAGCCTTATATCAAATTATTTACTAAGGAAAGCTTAGAATGACAATCTTTATCTCACTAAGAACTAGCTTTGGGTTACATTTTAAATTTCCCTTATTATTACCTGTTATAAAACTCTCATATACTTGTTTTTACTAAACACTTACTCCTGCTTTAATTTGAATAACTCAGTTTACCACCTTCTCATCCCAGACTGAGCCATTAACTCAGCAAATTCATATGGTATTTATGTGAATTTAATCTCCTCTAGACTATTCAATGGGTTTTCTATTTTAGTTCTGAGATACATTAATAGCTTGAGAAATATCATTGTCCATGTCTAATCCTCCTCATAAATGTTAACCCCATTCACCAATTGCCTACAGCATATTTTGTATTAGACACCTTACAGGAACTGAAAATATAACTCATCTACAACTAAATTTAGTATATTTCCTTCCTCAAACACCTTAACTAGTTCCATTGTATTTCTCTGCAGTCCTTGCATTTATTTCTAATTCAAAGAATATGTCTCATTCTTGCATTTACCCTTTTCAACACTGCACATAAAACCCATCACTATTTCATGATATTTTTCATAGCAAGTCTATTTTGAATTTTTTCACTTCAACTGATTTGTAATCAGTTTATGTTTTGTATTTCCTTTAAAACTATAGGATTCTCTTTATTTTCTCAGCTTTGATTTTATTATTCAATTTTGTCTCCAACCTAGAGAATGAGGAGATTTTTTACATCACTCCAACACTAGTGTCCATTAGATATTTGTGAAATAATGTATGTTAACATCTAGAGCCTCAATTTTTCTTGCTCTTATTACATTTCCAACTCCCCTTATCACTGCCTTCTCAGGTTTATAATTTAATTCACATCATTAGTGCATATCCTCCAGAGAGTGTTTGTTTAGTTATAGCAGTCCTTAAATCTCCATAGAATTACTCAACAAGTAGACTCAGGAAATATCCATTCAAGTTTTGCTCAGCATTAAGTGATTTTTAACTTAGGAAAAAATCACTTAGAAATTTATTTCATTGCCTTTGTGTGTAAGTCTGTGTTTATCTATAAACTAATTGTGGTCCAGGTTTGGTTGAGGAATCGTCAGGCTTGTTGATAATTGATGGTATTAAAGAAGAAATGGAAATACCCATGTGGATATTTTGAATAACAAATAACATAAAGACTTGTGTTTCTCAGTCTACAGTGTCCCTTTTCTCAGCATTGCCTGCTCAAAAAAGCCATAGAGAATATTAATCTAGTCTAAGTTTTTTTTTTTTCTGTAAGAGTACCAAGTTTCCAAGCTGGTGTTCAGGAAGAAGAGTCTCTTACTTACTAGCCATGTTTGATTTATGTTTTTTTGTTCATCCAGATTTCTCTGGTTTTCTTCTTTCTTTTTCCATAGAAAATTCATTTGCATCAGAAGCTTCTTCTATCAAAGAAAGTTAAATATGAACAAAAGAGAAATTGAGATGAAAATTGAGATATCATGATGGACATGACAGCAATATTAGATAAATGAGCATTTAAGGTACAGTAATCACTATATCTTTTTTTTTAATTTTTTTTGGGGGGGTCCGGTAGTGGGGCCTGAACTCTGGGCCTGGGCACTGTCCCTCAGCTCTTCAGCTGAAGGCTAGTGCTCTACCACTTGAGCCACAGCGCCACTTCCGGCTTTTTTCTTTTTGCTTATGTGGTGCTGAGGAATCGAACCCAGGGCCTTGAGCATGCAAGGCAAGCACGCTACCACTGAGCCACCTTCCCAGCCCAATCACTATATCTTTACTAGAAAGATTAACTTTAGATTTTCAGAGACTTAATAAACATAAAATTAAAATGTTATTCGTGCGAAAGATGTTAAACAATAGTGGAAAATGTAATCTTGTGCCTCCAGCCAATCTTTTTAAGTGAATTCTTAGTATCAAGTGATCTAAGTATTTTTCAAGTAGTAGGTGTGAACCAGTGATCCTAATAGACTTCACTAGATTACATATTTGCAATTATGAATACAATATCCCATGTCACCAAAAATCACCAGTTTATTGGCCTTAATCTTTTACTTGATTATCACATTCTCTCCACCATTAATATCATCATTACCATTCACACAAAGTAGGAGACTTCTAAAGGCAAAAATATAAGTTCTATGGGTTGGGAATGCTCTTCAATAATTTATTCTAGTGATTGCCACACAGTGTTCCATGTACTGCAAAAATATATAACGATTTTATTTGCTTTTTTTCATGATCTCAGTGAATCACCCACTATCAAATTTCTCTCCCAGCCATTGCTTACCCTGTATCTCTCTGCAGTCCAATCAACAGAACAGTCACCGTGAGCCCTATGGTCCTCAGTCCTACAGCACTTGGAGCAGATCTGGTCTTTGATAACCTCACAGTAGAAATTCTTAGTTTGCCTATGCTCATTACACATCTCTTCTTCAGAGTTAGATAACATGAAGGCTAAGGTCCTTCGGGCCATAAATACCTTTGTGCTCAAAACTATGTCAGTTTTCAAGTCTGTTTGATATGACTTTTTGCATTCAGGACAGAGAAAAGGATGTTGGGCCTTCTCCCTGGAGAGGTAGAGACAAGGCCTGCAAAATGTGTGCTTACAACCTAGAGTGACTGGGTCCATCAAATAGTTTAGGCAAAGCAAACAAATGAGTTCTTTGGAGAAGACATTCAAAATTAGGTTTCTGCCAAGAGAAAAAAGATATAAATATTATTTCACAGCAGGCTTTATAAAAAAAACATTTCCACACCCCACAATATCCTCTTCTTATGAATATACTAGTTATGAGAACAAGAAGACAGGTTGTGTTGCATATGACAGAAGGAGGCCCGATGAGAACTCATCCAGATCTTTAGATATTGGTTTGTCGAATGGAACCTCCAATTCTGGTTCCAGTTCCCAATACTTTTCCAATTTTGTTCATTTTTATCCTCCACCATTAGTATAAAGAAAATATAAAATTCTAACCCCCTCTTCAGGCACAGAAGAATACATTCTTCTTCGTAAATAATTCATACTTAAGCTTTTTTTTCCTGCATACTTATACTCCCAGGACTGAGCAAATTTTAGCCAGCAGGGTCATGACTTCAAGGCCACCAGGATTCTACAACCTCTAGCACAATAACAGCCAAAGAACAATAACAATTGTTACTACTTTCTTTAAAAGATTGATTAATGTAACTGCAACCCCCATGTTAATCATATTTACAGTAAAGATGTAAAAATACATAAAAATAAAAGATTGATTATATTTGCCAATGACTCTTTTGTATAATTTGTCACTAAAGTGAGATTATTAGGAATCTATGGAAGGTTGGTATATGTGGAAAATATTGCAAATTATAAGGCAGTAATACTAATTTACCTTCCCCTGGGCATAATTTCAGTCTGTTCCTTCCAATGCCATTTTCTTAGTACAAAGTACATGAGATTTAAGGAATATGCTGAGACTGAGAGAGAAATTCAGAACATCTTCTTGGATAATGTCACTGAAAAATGTCTTAATCATTAAGAGCTGACAACAGTTCTAAAAAGATCAAACTAGACTCTGTTATTTAACTTGAATGCAAAATCTAGAAATATACAATTACTAAAGAAAAATCAAGAAAGAAATATTTATTTCTAAAAATAAAGAAAGAAATCCCAGGTTACACTTCAAAATATTGGTAAATAATTCCTTTTTAAAATAAGCCCCAAAAGGCACAGGGAAGAAAAAAATCATAGAGTCTGGCTTGTGGTGAACAGCTCAGTTCCAGCTATTGAGAGCTATTACAAGCGAACCAGGAATCCAATTTAGTAAGACCTTATCTCAAAATAATAAATCTGATACTTCAGGTGTAGTCCCTACTATTTAAAGAAAAAGGTGAAATAATGGGAAAAAGCTAATGAGGTTATTTTGATGAATAACTTTTGCATGAGAAAAGCTGTGTAGGACCATGCTGAAGCACAGAGTATCTGCAAACTATTGCCCTGACAAGGAATTAGTATGTCAGGAAATGAAAATTCCAGAAAAAATTTAATTTTATAAAATAATTGAGAAATAATGTAAATGAGTAGTTTTAAAATATAAAAAGTTCTATAAGAATATGAAAAAATACCATCATTTCTAATTTGGAAAATGCTATTTAAAATAACTTTCACAAATCACTTCAAACCGATAGGAATGGGCATATACAAGGATGCACAGAAAGGAGGTTTTTCACTACTGTTTGAATGTACTTACATATCCATTTTAGCAAGCAGTATTGAATTTTTTTCTACAAAGTAATACTATAAATGTAGATTCCATTTGATCCATTCCATTTGAATGTCCATCCAGAGTACATTAGTCTGTAGATAAAGAAAGGTATAAATGATTATCATTTTGACTTACAATAGACAAGACAGAGGATCAAGGCAGGTGTTCATCATTGAATGAATAAGTTAAAGTTCGTGTGTGTGTGTGTGTGTGTGTGTGTGTGTGTGTGTGTGTGTAGTCAGAATGACATATCATTCAGCAAAAAAAAAAATCTGTGACTTCCTGTTTGTTACTTGCAATAACCTAAATGGAACTGGAAAACTTTAAATTTCATGAAACAAGCCAGGTATAGAAATATAAACACCACATATTTTCAATCCTTTGTAAAAACTAAAAAAAACTAAATTCAAATGAAATTGGTTTCTTAACTAACAATTGAACACTGTCACTAGAGTTTAGAATGATTAAAGGAGGAAAAAGAAAATAATGTTGATTATAATTCTCATAAAATTTATCTTTCTTTGACAATTTTTCCTTAAAATTCAATAGGTTCTATCCTAGAACTTTTGCATTTTATTTTGTAATACTACACAGAAAAATATATAAACATCACTGATGGAAATTTATTATTAATTCCAAAGCTACATGTGGATACTGCCTTTACAATAGAATTCAAAACTCACTGCCACCCCACACATCTTTGAAGGAGGGCAAGCATTACTGGCTCACTTCTAAGGAATAGCACAGGAAATGGCAAAGCAGTCATTTTAGAATAGCAAAGCACAGCCTTATCCCTATGATGAAGTTGAAGATCAAGATCAATAAGGCCTGTTGATGTCATAATCTTCTCATATGAGAGGAATGATTGCATCATCTCTGTGGTATTCTTTCCAAAATATATGACCCACATTCTCATGTCTATCAAAATGACAAAATAATAAAAATAATCAAATACAAAAACCTAAGGAAAATCTGAGTTTTCAGGGATCAGAAGAGAATTTAGAGAAAAAAAATTCTCTATATCACATGAAATTGGGTTTAGAAACAGGACAAAACAGAGATTTCTATGAAAACCAAATGAAATACAGGTTTAATTTATAGTTTGAATCCAGCCTCCTAGTTCAGGTAAGTATGAATATTACAGTGGGAAAATACCATGAGTGGTTGGTATAGGTTGAATTATTTTCTCAGGAGACAGTGCTCATTATTATGGTCAGACACACATTATATAATATTCATAGAATGGTCTCTTGGCAGAGTATGAAGAATTCATTTTTTTAAACCTGCGGTTCAGAAACCCATGATCCAGCCATCCTTTAGACTATGAGAATGTATAGCCTAGTAGGAGGGGGAACCTGTGGCCCTACCTTGAGATTTACAGCTATTTCATATTCACTGTTCATGGACTTTCCACACTCATAAAGAAATGTCAGGTTCATTCCTATGAACACCCATTATTAGCCATGGTAGAAGATTTTGATGGTTGCTAAGGGTTATGACATCTCTTAGCTAAAATCTTCTGGTGTTACTGAGATTGTCTATAAAAGGTATCAGACATGTCCATGGCACAGATCACTGAGCCTGTGCCCATGTTCTTCTCTACTTAGGCCATCTACTGAGCCTTGTTGCCTTCTTCATTCCATATGAAATCCAAATCAATTAGTCCTCTCTGCTTCTACTATGTTCCAGGGCCCTGTCCTTGATCTTCATTTTGATAACATAAGAAAACTGAGTATCTGTATATTCCATTTTAAGAACTGGTTTGGTCCATTCTCATCTTAGCCAGCAGAATCCTAAAGGAAAGGAGGTAACAAGTGAGGTTCCTTTAAGTGTTCCTTCCTCCCCAGTGAAATGACCCCACTTTAAGGAAGGACCATCTGTTCTGCTCTGACTAATCCAACAAGGATAGGAGACATTCTAACAGCACAATAGACAACTTCATGGAAATAAACAGTGTAGAAAACAAACACTTGAGAAGAAGGGAAAAAGAAAAGTGTTATTGATGAGAAATTTAGTCAAAAGTTCAAAGAAGGCAATGATGGAGCAGCAAAGGTTTAGAATAAACCAGGAACAGAATAATCTTTTCTCATGGTCATTGAGTATGTTAGTTATCCAAGACTAATACTCCTACAAGTGGGTGCAATGCCATAGATACATGGGATACTGAAAAAATTAAATATTCAAAAATCCCAGTGTTTCAAAATTCCTCTAGATGGCCTACATTTTAAGGAACCAGTGTAAATTTTCTGCTGTTCACCTTTACCCAAAGGGAGAACAGACTTACAGTTAGCCTAAGCTACCTGGGCTCCCTTCTCCAAAACTCTGCGCAGTAACCTTGTGTACTTACGGTGTCTCAGTTCCATAGTTTACAAAGTAGTACCTTAGTCAGAGAAGTGAAGGCATACATGTGTGTTTATATTTAACAAATTGATTCATATAATGGTAGATGCTGGGAAGGAAGGAAGGAAGGGAGGAAGGGAGGGAGGGAAAAGATGGAAATACTCTGGATGAGTACCTTTGCCAAGAAATATTTTTTATGCTATTTGTCACATTACTAAAAACACAGAAAGGTGAGCAGGGGACTACACTAATGAGAAGGGTGAAGAAATTAACTTGAAAGACAAGAGATTTAGGAATGAAAAAAATAGAGTTAGAGTTCAATTTTTCCCAGACAAGTGCCAATATCCAAAATATACTTAGAACTCAAAACTTAAACCACTCCACCCTGCAAGAAAACCGGCAAAATATCTAGTATATGTCTGAGTCAAGCAGAAAAGGCCAGATAAGGTGATGTTAGGGAAATGAACCCTAAGATATGTATTCAAATGTTTTTTTTCATGTGATTGTTTCTAACACATTTATAAGATTATTTCTTTGTTGCTTTGTATGTCCCTCCCCCACAGCATAACCCCTGCTTTCACTGTATTTGATGTTGGTATAATTTGTGGAGGGGAAGGGGGAAAACAAATCACTTAAATAGGGATACAGGTGGACCCATTGCAACAATGAGATGTACAAGTCGTTATGTCGAAAACGAACTTTACAACTTTGGTGCGGGGAGGGGGGACTGAGTGGGGGGCAGGGGGAGGATGGGACGGGATGGGAAGAGGAAACAAAGGAGGAGGCTACAATGCTTGATAGGAAATGTATTCATTATCTTGCCCATGTAATTGTAACCCCTCTGAACAATATTTTCACAATAAAAAAAACCTGCAAAGAGCAACAACCCAATTAATAAATGGACAAATGACTTAAAAGAGATACTTCTCAGAAGTAAACATAGCCAATAAATATATGAAGGAATCTTCGGTCTCTGGGCATAAATGAAATGCAAATCCAAACAACATTGTGATTCCACTCCATTTAGAATGGCAATTATCAAGAACACAAATAATAGCAGATGCTGGCAAGGATGTGGCCCAAAGTAGCTCTATTACACTGTTGCA